GCATGCGCATGCCGACGCAGTTCGCGCACTGAGCACAGCTTTCCCACCCGCCCAAGCACTTCGCAGGTGTCCGAAATCACTGCCTGCCTGTCGTCGTCATACTACTAGAACTAGGGCGGCTGTAAGCAAAAGCCAATGAGAGGGGCCCCAGAAGGAGCGTTCTGCAGCGAAGCCGACGAAGACACAAGCATCAGCTGCTCAAAGGGACTCTAGCTACCCTTGGGTTTGGGGACCCTTTCAAAGATCCTCTGCGAGACTTAGAGGGACTATAATCAGCGTATATATCAAGGGAACCTCTCAGGGGTACATCCTTAGCCCTTAGCATTCCAAGTTGGACTCCCTTTACTGTACTGCTTGGCTTTCAGAGTCGCCAAGTTTAGGGTTTAGGGTTAGGGTTTAGGGTTTAGGGTTTAGGGTTTAGGGTTCAGGGTTCAGGGGTCAGGGTTCAGGGTTCAGGGTTCAGGGTTTAGGGTTTAGGGTTTAGGGGCACCCCAATGGTACATGGTGCCCTGAATAAACCCTAAACCCTAAACCCCAAACCTCAAGCCCTATAAACCCTTAAACCGGAGCCAGCCCCACCGCAGCCGGGCTGGCGAGATGGTGGGCCCGGAGGTCTTCCTCCCAGCTGTCGGGCTTTGGATTGAAGGGCTCTCAAAGGTAAACCCTAAACCCTATAAACTTAGGGTTTAGGGTTTAGGGCTTAGGGTTTAGGGTTTAGGGTTTAGGAAGCTTACGAGGGCTCAGCCTTCGAGAGGGGACGCTTGTGGGCAGCAGCTCTGTTCGGAGTTTTGCCGCCGGCTACAACACCGAAGTCATCCTCTTGCAGATGGCGGCTGTGCGTCCGTGACGTCCGTGCATGAAGATTGGGACGGCTGGTTGCTAAAACGAGAATAGGGACAACGACCCTCCTGAGGGTTCGGGAACTACGGGGCCTGATGCCTGGAGTGCTTGTTCAGAACTCGTAAGGTTTGGAACGCAAGCGTTCCAATCTTAACTTTCACTGCATGCGACAAGTACAGCACGTGAGCGCAGAACAGATGCAGCCGTTGTGCTGCAAGAGAAGACTTCGTTGCACGAGCGAGAGGTTGGATTACGTCTCGGTTGTTGCTTTGCCTTCCCTGTGAAGTTGGATGCATCTGGGGCTTAAGGTCTAACTATTGAGTCTTGGTGCCCCAGACTTGCAAACTCAGGGACGCCGAAATACTTTCTGCGGGAGACATCCCTAAACCCCAAACCAATTTGAGCTCGAAACCTTTCGGGAAGTATTGGCGTTACACAAGGCCTTTGAGCTCGGCCAGCAGCCAAGCACAGCCACCACTAGGGTTTCAGAATCACACGTGCACGCTTCCTAAAGTATTTCGGTACTAAACCCTAAACCTTAGAGCATTTAGGCCGAAACTTGGCGTATCGAAGACAATGTCACCCCAGTCCTCTTCACTGGAGGTGCGTTGGAACCCAACTCCATGGTCCCGAACCTGCGGGGTGTTGCGGTTTATGGGGGGGTTTAAGGCATCTACCCTAAACCCTAAACTGTAAACCCTAAACCCCAACCCCTAAACCCTAAGCAGTCACATGGTCTCTCAATTTCTTTTTGAGGTGTTCCGAAGTGTGGGGCCCCCTTTGGGCTTGATGGGGTATAGAAAAGGGGTCCATATTTCAGGGCCCATGCTAAGGAAGGCGGCAAAGACCCTAAGCCCTAAACTTGAACCCTGCACCCTAAACCCTAAACCCTAAACCCTGAACCCTACACCCTAAGCCCTGAACCCTAATTCCCAAACCCTAAGCCATGAACCCTAAACCCAAAAAGCAAGACCGCCGCCCCCTCCAAGGGTCGATGACCCTCTGCTGGCTGATGTTGCGTGAGGCTTTTTCCAACCTAGGCCCCTGTATAAAATTTAGGGTTTAGGGTTCTATAGGGTTTAGGGTAGATGTCTTCCCGAAACACCACCAAGGACTAGGGTTAGGTTCAGGGTGCAGGGTTTAGGGTTTAGGTGTCAGGCTTTAGGGTTGAGGCTTCAAGGTTTAGGGTTTGTAGGGTTGAGCTTCCTGCAGAAGCGGCCAAGCGAATCATGGAAATGGCGAGCTGAGGGAGTGTTTTCACATCATTGTCATTCATTGCTGCGGCTGTGGCTGCGATGGCTGCCCGGTGGTCGAAACCCTAAACCCTAAACCCTGAACCCTGAACCCTGAACCCTAAATACTACTTCTTGAGTCGCACCACTACGAACGGCTGTGAATGGGGGGCTCGTAGAGGCAGAGATGAAGACCCTCAAACAACAAAAACAAAAAAAAGGGAAGCGTGCCTTCGCTCAAGCTTTGGCGTGCACGCAGCAACCTTTGCTGCGCGCTTGAGAGTCGATTCTGGAAGGTCCTGGTGCGGCTCAGCAGGCGCTGTGGGGTCTAAGGTGTTGCGGCGGTAGGGCGAAGCCCTCAGGAGGTGTTTTCGGGCTTAGGGTCTCGGAAGTCTGTGCCAGGTCGGAGATCGGAATCGATGCAGCAAGCAACCTAACACTGAAGTGAAGCATCCACTTAGACTGGCACAAGCCCGCGCTCGTGCCGTTGAGGGAAAGCTGAAGATACGTTTGAGGGTTGAGGGTTTGAAGCCAGCAGCCTGCTAAGAAGGCCTCTATAGAGTTCGGGCTCAGACTTCGCGGAAAGTCGCTGCATGTTGGGTGTAAATTCAGCTGCCTTGAAAGCCAATGTGCGCAGCTACTGTTTTGGCGCCCTCATTCTCAACATCCTGGTGCCAATGTCTAACAGAACCTGGGCCACACATTCGAAGCTACGATACATAAATATATATATATACCGATATATACCGATATAGGATTGGCATAGTACAACTAGACCAAAAAGAGTACTAAGTGCATATTGTGCTGCAGCAGGCATCGGGCGAGGGAGCGGTGTGGCACGTAAACCTATGCGTGTTGCCTTGGCAAGTTATTGCAGTAGTTGCTCCACTATGGCGTTGAAGGCAAGGTAGCGTAGCCAGAAGTGAGAATTTAGGGGTTCACGTCGCAACCCCTGACCTCGCGGGCTTTAGCGCTTGGGTTGTCGAGGAACCTATTCAAGTTCGGGCAGTCCTCCTTAACAGGAGCCTCTGGATCACCCCGAACGGAAGGCGCCTGCCCGCGCGAGAAAGAAGCGAGACACACACACACACACACACTCGCAGAATGAATCTCGGTTGCAACACAGTCTAGCCGTCTGGGAGCTTCTCAGGGCGACATAAGCTGGCCATTGGGGTCAGCAAACCCTAAACCCTAGCCCTAAACCCTAAACCGACACTCTACCTGCATTGCTGAGCTTAGGGTCGGGTTTGAGGAACGTAAAGGCCCCGATCTGTCGGAGCAAGTACTGAAGATTTGCCACACTCAACGCATCCCCAAATCAGTCAGCAGTCGCCAACAGACTTCCCCTAAGTTAAACCCGAAACCCTAAAACCATAAACCCTAAACCTAAACCCTACCAACCGTTCACGAACCCTTACAGCCCTCACGCTCTATATGCCTCAAACCCTAAACCCTAAATCCTAAACCCTAGGCCCTAAACCCTAAACCCTCCACCCTAAACTCCCCGGCAGCCTTGCTTCCCGTGCCGGCGGTGCCCGGCCGCGGCGAGTTGACGGAGGAGCGGGGGGAGCTCGCTGGGTCATCTGCCCAGAGGCTAGGGATCAGGGCTTTACGGGTTTCGGGCTTGGGGTTTAGGGTTCAGGGCTTACGTAGGGTTTAGGGCTTACGGGTTTAGGGTTTGGGGTTTAGGGTTGAGGGTTTTGGGATGTTTCGGGTTTAGGCTTTCCACCCAGCAGGGTCGACAGACCCACGAGCGAACTTCAAAATCGAAGAGGGCGAGACTTGATTTTGGGGGTCTTGATTATAAAGGGATCCTACTATTTGGGGGTCTATATTCGGGGTCCCTTATTGTAAAACCACATTTGCGCCGGACACAGGCAAAGCCCCCCATCCAACCCGTCTGATTTTTTGCATACTAAGACTGAGTCTCCCTTAATGTTCTTCGGCGACATGCAGCCCGGACAGCGGACATTGCAGGCAGAGGAAAGTACATTGGCCCAAAGAGCACGACCCAAACCCATGATCGGATTCAGGTCTTCTGGTGCCCCTTTGTGGAAGCCCCTTTGTGGAGGACCCTAAGCCCCAAGCCCTCAGCCCTACGCCCGAAGCCCTAAACCCTAAACCTGGTGCCTGAGATCATCAAGTCCTTCATCTGGGCCCCGAGGTTCGTGATGTTCCACCACCAGGCCTCTCACCAAGTGACAGTTTTGGGGGGCATCCTCTTTCTGCAGTTGTAGCGATATGGTGGTATAGGGGCCTTAGTTCTTGGAGAAAGTACAATAGGGATTTGGGGGGGGGGGGGGTTCTTATTGTATAACTACGTACGGACGTACGGACCATCAGGGAATACCATTCGTAATTCTTCCGACCCCTATATTACCTGGAATTCCTCGCCAGGATTGCGCAGTGCTATAATCCACCACACTGCGCGTGCATGAGGCCTTTGCGAGCTTCGGGTGCTGAGTTGGGTCTGCCTTGTGAGGTCCACCGAATCCTAAATGTACAGTGCCGGCGGCTCCTGACGTGACTGAAATCAAGCTATGTCCGGCCATTAAATGCCAGAACTCTACCCTGTGCAGGGAAGGGGAAGAACATCCCCATGCACACTGGGCTCCACCCAGCCAACAAGAAAAAATGGCTTCTCTGCCCAGCCGCAGGGATACAAAATGTGCAGATTAAGTGAAGAACTAGGGTTCATAGATTGCTGGAGGGACAAGGCCCTCCAGGCCTCCCAGCTGAAAGTCTGGACAAAAGCCCTCTTTGTGAGGGACCGCATCCCATGCTCGAGCTTGCCTTAATCAAACGCTCCCAAAACCTCAGAGCAGGTTAGGCGTTTTTGACGGCGCATATTTTCGAATCCGACTTAGCTGTCAATTTTGACATGGGATGCAGACGCAGACCTTCAGAGCCGTGCGCTTCCCCTGTCACTCAGCCGGTGTTCTGCATGCCCGCGGCAATGGCCTGGGGGAGGAAGAATTCCAAAAACACTTGGGCGAGTTTAGGGTTTAGGGTTTAGGGTTTAGGGTTTAGGGTTTAGGGGAGTCTTGCAGGACACAGTACGGGGGACAAGCTTCTCCACAGAGAACACGAATCTGGAGCTTTTGGGCAGCTCTTCCTGGCTCTCTACCGGAATCACCATATCTAGGCTTACGCGCTTAGGGTGGCAGAATTCCAGACATCATGGCACGAGAAGCCTCCAAACTCCACCTTATCCCAACCCCCAGGGCCTGGATTGACCGTACACCCAAAAACCACAAACCCTCTAACCCTAAAAGCTCAAAAAAGCCCAAAAGCCCGAAACTCCTAAAGCCCTAAAACCCTCAAGCCCTAACTCTTAAAACCCTAAAGCCCTGCCTAAAACCCTAAATCCTAGACCTCACTATACTCCCCTTAGAACGTTAATTAAAAATACGATGTTGAACACTCCTTTGGGTTCTATACAAGTAAAGCCCCCAACCCCAAACCCCAAACCCTAAACCCTCATGAACGGTACAGAGCTGAAGCAGCTTATCAGACTCTTGTGAGGGGAGCGACACCCGAAAACCCCGAGGGGCCTTGTAGCTCAGGGGCCTGGATAGAGATGATTCAACCCTAAACCCTAAACCCTAACCCCTAAACCCTAAACCCTATACCCTAAACCCTAAACCCTGATAGCTCAGGGGCCTGGATAGAGATGATCATGGCATCCCTCAGCTCCTTGGCGGGCTCCTGGTGCGTGAAATGGGGCTGCGACGCTTCACTGGCTTCAAGGGCTTAGGGCTTGGGGCTTAGGGTTAGGGTTTAGGGTTTGGGGTTTCGGGTTTGGGGTAAAGGGTTTGGGGTAAAGGGTTTGGGGTTTAGGGTTTGGGGTTTAGGGTTTTGGTTTAGGGCTTGGGTTTTGGGGTTTGGGGTTTGGGGTTTAGGGTTTGGGGTTTAGGGTTTTGGGTTTTGGTTTAGGGTTTGGGGTTTGGGGTTTGGGGCTTGGGGTTTCGGGTTTGGGCTACCCTTAGACCTACAACCTCTGAAACAAGCCCCGACCTCAAAAATCCCTAACACCCCTCTAGTTAAACACTCACTGTCCAGCTGCAATCCCAAACCCAAAACCCTAAACCCCGTCGCCCCCCCGCTCCCCCCAAACCCTAAACCCTAAACCCTAAAACCTAAAACCTAAACCCTAAACCCTAAACCCCCCAAAGCCTAAACCCTGAACCCCAAACCCTAAACCCCGAACACAGGCCTCCCCGGCATCCTGGGCAGTTCGCAGCCTTTGGAGAACCTCTGCCTGTCCAAATGTTATGTTATGTTTTTTTTTGTTTAATCTTTCTTTGGGGGTGGGGGGCGAGGGGGGTTAGGGTTTAGGGTTTAGGGTTTAGTCCATCGCTTTTTCGGGGGAGGGGGAGGGAGGGGGAGAGGGAGGTTGCGGATTCCGGATTCAGGGGCTTTAGAGGGTTTGAGGCGTGAACTATCCTTTGCATTTTTCGCCAAGCAGCAACGTTTGGGGTCCTCTCCTGAGGAGGAAGGATCAGGGTTTAGGGTTTAGGGTTTAGATTTTAGGGTTTGGGTTTAGGGGCGCCGAGCTGGGTGGGCGCCCTGCTTGGGGTCTTCGCCGGTACTCATTTAGCCAGCACCCTAAACACGAGGCCCTAAACCCTAAACCCTCAACCTTTAGCCCTAAACCCTAAACCCCAAACCCTAACATTTGGCAAATGTGCGATTGGAACGAGAGAAAGAATTGTATTGCACGGAGTTTACTTGGAATTCGTGACTGGCTTTCATTCTCTAAGCCCTATAAACCCTAAACCCCAGACCCGAAACCGTAACCCCTTATGCCTTATGCTGCAAACCTCCTCCAGAGCGTGGAGTGACAAGAAGGGCGCACACTTCTTGACCTCTGACTTCCCATATTCCAAAACCCTAAACCCTAAACCCTAAACCCTAAACCCTAAACCACACATCCTGAACTTCACTCAGGCCTGGATCACATGCGAGATGTCCAGGAAGGGTCGGCGCATGGCAATGGACTGCACAGGAAGGAACCACGGTCCAGGTAAAAAGAGAGTACGTCCAGGGTTTAGGGTTTGGCTTTGGGTTTAGGGTTTAGGGTTTAGGGTTGAGGGTTGAGGGTTTAGGGTATAGGGTTTAGGGTTTAGGAGTTTAGGGTCTAGGGTGTAGGCTCATGTTGGGATTCTGGCAGAAGCATGGAGACCCTCTACCTGCAACAGCGAAGTGCAAGCAAAGCTGGAAAACGCCTGCTTCACCACGGCGTCCTTCAGCAGCAGCTTGTCAACCCCCTTCACCGCAAGAACATTGGTGATGGCTTGCTGGAGACCTCTGTGCAGGTATGCATGACCTGTGCACTACATGTGCACTACATGTGTACTGTAATTACCGTTAATACGAGCTCGAGTCGTGTGCTATGGATACTTCAGGTCACAGAGCTGCTACACGCAAATCTCGCTGGGAGCCCAGCCGTTGCGCAGATGTTGCCCGAGCTGCTTCAGGTCGTCGTCCTTCAACGTCTTGGTTTCATAGTGCTTGGCCAAGTCGGGCTGTGCCTTGCAAGATCCAGGGCCCGACACGCTACCCTCCTCCCCTCTTGCGCGGCACTCCCCTTAAGAGGATGGCAAATTTCACGCGACAGTCCTAGGCGACTTGAGCTTCCTAATCTGAGTCCTTAAAAGGAAAGGGGGGGGGGGCCTTTCCCAGCTCGATGTCAATGAGGTCCATCATGGACTGGAAGAAAGGCCACTCCTTGTACATCTGCTGCAACAGGGGTAGCTTGCCCGCATCGATGTACTTCTGCAGGGCAAGGCCGTTTCCGAGCCACACGGGGAGGAGCAGCCGGGTCTGCGTCCAGGCGAAGATCCAAGGAATTGCCCGGAGCGTGTCGATGCCTCCGTACGCGCGGCGCTTGGCGGGCCGGCTGCCAATGTTCCTCAGCAGCTTCTGGAAATCTTGGAAGTTATACGATACTCCTAAACCCTAAACCCCTAAACCCCTAAACCCCTAAACCCTAAACCCTAAACCCTTAACCCCTAACCCCTAAACCCTAAACCCTAAACCCTAAACCCCTAAACCCCTAAACCCCTCAACCCCTCAACCCCTAAACCCCTAAACTCCTAAACCACTAAACCCTAAACCCTAAACCCTAAACCATATTTAGCTTGAAAAGATCAGACCGAGGTTCATCTGTCCGAGCTCGGAGGTGGGGGTGTAGGTGTGGAAGAAGCGCACGAAGATGTCGTTCTCGCTCTTGAAGACCGTCTTCTGGTACTCCTCCGCGGAGGTGTCGGCCAGCTCCTTCATGGCCGCGCGGAACTCCGCGCTGGGAAGGGGCGGGGGGGTGACCTGGTGCTTCAGCACGGCCGTGGAGTAACGCTCCAACGTCCGCTCCGCCACCTCGGCGCTCGCGAAGTGCCGGCCGATGGTCTCGCCCTGGATGGTGAGGCGCAGGTGGCCTCCGGCCAGAGACGCTTGGGGGGCTCATTCTCATTTCGTCTCTTTTCGTCTGCGCCGATGAGACAGGCTTGAATATGTATGTGTCTATATATTATATACATTCTACATATACTAAAAGATAGATCGACCGATAGGTATATGGATGGACAAAGAATCACGTCGGGTCTCAAGGCCTCGTTCCAGCGATCCCTGTGGCTGGGCCAGGAGGGTGAGGTGAGGGGGGCCACCACCACGTCCGATGGAGCCACCGCGGCCGTGGAAGAAGGTCACGTTGACCCCATGCTTCTTCCCAACCTCCAAAATTGGGGCTCTTAAAAAACCCTAAACCCTAAACCCTAAACCCTAAACCCTAAACCCTAAACCCTAAACCCTAAACCCTAAACCCTAAACCCTAAACCCTAAACCCTAAACCCTAAACCCTAAACCCTAAACCCTAAACCCCATACCAAAAGCCCCTGCTTCTCCCCCTGACCTCCAAAATCTTCTCCATGGCCACGTGAAGCTCCCACGTCGAGGCAAACTTGCCGGCATCCTTGACGGAGTCGGAGTAGCCAAGCATCACCTCGGTACCCAGGAGTAACCTGTAGGAATATAAGGGGTGCCCTTTTTTGGGGGGGATGACACGGGAACCCTACATCCCTGAAAAAGGAAATAAGGGTCAAATACTCTCCGGGTCCGAGGCACTTCCTGGTTGCCCTTGATGTGCTTCAGGTACCATGGCACGCTGAAGGCGGCGTCGATGACCTTGGGGGCAGCGATCAAGTCGTCGCGGGTCTCGAAAAGGGGGCTCACGCGCATGAACTTCTTGACGCCCCCGATCTTCTGGAGCAGGACCACCGCGAGGATGTCCGAGGTGGCCCGGGACATGGAGATGCAGTAGGCACCCAACGCCTCGATGGGCAACCTTACTTCTTCATGAACCAAGAGGAATAGTTTTTTTTTACTTCTCATATTCCTACTAAATATGGAAACCCAAAAAGCTTAAAGTTCAACTTCTTGCGAAGTAAGCAACTCTGCGATGGTCTTGTAGGTTGCAAGCACCTCCTTGACGATGTCGCTGGCCTCGAAGGTGTCAGGCAGCAAAGGTTTAGGGTTGAGGGTTTTGGGTCTAGGGTCTAGGGTTTAGGTTTTGGGGTTGCTGGCCTCCAAGGTGTCAGGCAGCAAGGGTCGATTGGATTCGATCTCCTTCACCAGCCAGTCACACTTCTCCTTGCTGGCCCAGTAGCCAGAGAATCATAAGGGTCCCCTCTTTTGGGGTTGGGTATCTTATGAGGGAACCTACAACCCAAAAAACGGGATACCCTTGTTGGGGATTGGGTATTCTCTAAGGGAACCTCGAAACAAAAAAAGTGAAAAAAAGGGGTGCCACTGGCCTACCAAGTCTCCTGCTCGGACCAGGACGTGTACTTGCCCAGGCCGAGGCATTCGGTAATGGCTTCCAGGGCCTCTGAGTGACCTTAGTTGCTGCATAAGACCCAAAACAGGGTACACTTTCAGCTCTACAGGGGGTTCTGGCATCCCAAAAAGTGTATACAGTATTGTACAGTGTACTCATTCAGCTACGAAGTGACGGTCGGACTCCTGGCGCACGTCCAGGCAGGCCATGCTGATGCCGAAGGTGCGCACGCGGCGGATGAGGTCAAGGAGCCTTCCGTTGGCCACCACCTGGCGCTACAGCGCGGGCTGAGGCAGGGACTCTTACCCTTGAGTGTGGCCCTATGGCTGGTGATGAGGTAAGGGTGCAAGATTGTCGCCCCTGTACGAGTACCCCTAATCCGGGTCGCCGCATGAGGGTGGCAGGGGGGTGGGGTTGGGGGGTGGGCACTGGGGGTTATCTAATTTGAACCCTAAACCCTAAACCCTAAACCCTAAACCCTAAACCCTAAACCCTAAACCCTAAACCCTAAACCCTAAACCCTAAACCCTAAACCCTAAACCCTACAGACGGCACCTCGTCGCCACTCTCAACCAATGAGCGGTAGATGATCTCGAGCGGCCGGGCAAGCTCGTCCGCCGAGGTCAGGACCTGCATTTAGGGAAGGGAGTTGGGTCTTGTTTACTTGTTTTTTATCCCGAATTCCCTAAACCCTAAACCCCCTACAGCCTAAACCCTTGACCCCCTAAACCCTGAGCCCTAAACCCTAAACCCTAAACCGAATTTTGGATCATCCAGCCCTTCGCCTCTTTCTCGAAGTCCGAATCCACAGCGGTTCCCATGTACATGGCCTGGCACAGCCCATCAAAACTAAGGTTTAGGTTTTAGGGCCTTTTGGGTTTTGGGTTTTGGGTTTAGGGTTTAGGGTTTAAAGTTTAGGGTTTAGGGTTTAGGGTTTAGGGTTTAGGGTGTAACCCAGGGGGCCAAATGAACCCTAAAAGTGGTCATATACGCTATACTGCTAGAATTCCTCTGAAGGTATACGCACCATAAACCCCTTTCGGGTCATTTGGTCCCTGAGGATGATAAGTAGAATAGGGTTTTGGGGGTTGAGATCGTACATATAGGGACCATAAGGGATAACTCTTCCGATCCCTGTAGCAGGCACCCCTAAACCCTAAACCCTAAACCCTAAACCCTAAACCCTAAACCCTAAACCCTAAACCTTAAACCCTGCTGGCCTCCATGGTCTTCTTGGTGCGCCAGCACCGCCTTCGGATGGCCATCAGGAGCCTTCGGTACGGCTCGTCTGCGGCCACGCCCGTGTGGAAGTTCCAGTGCACGCCGCTTCGCTGGTCAGGGCGGCACACCTTGGTGTAGCCCAGTTTTGCGACCATTTTTGTAGGAAGGGCACCCCTTGTTGGGGGGGGGTTTGCTACTTTTCAACTGGTGGGTTGGCTACTTAATAAAGGAACCCAGAACCCCTTCCCCCTCCCCCCCCCCCCCCCCCCCCCCCCCCAAAAAAAAAAGAAAACAGGGCACCACTGGGCTGCCAAGACACTTTGCCTCCGGGCACGGTGGGGGCGGACCACATGCTGCTCACCGCCTCGATCTCACGCTGAAGCTCCTCACTGGTCTCCCCGGTCATGCTCAGCTCATAGAGCAACTCATCCACCTGCTACTTATAATTAAGCCCTAAGCCTAAACCCTAAACCCTATACCCTAAACCCTAAACCCTAAACCCTAAACCCTACACCCTAAACCCTAAACCCTAAACCCTAAACCCTAAACCTAAAGCCTAAAGCCTAAAGCCTAAACCATAACCGTGAACAAGGAAGACGCTGCAAGAGGCTGTCGGCGCGCCCCCTCGAAAGCTTCAGGGTTTAGGGTTTAGTGCGGGTTCGGGCGCAAAAGCGAAACATGCCGATATGAACCCTGTGATGAGCATCCACATCCCGCGCCGGGATTGCCTTTCTGCAACACCTCGAAACTTTGTCCATGGACTAGGACACCCACCCGCTCACCCGGACTGAGACAAAATACACAATTCGCCTCTGAACCTTCTCATTGGCTTTGCTGTACACCCTGCACTGCAGGCGCAAAACATTAAACCTAAAACCTTGGGGGTCTTCCGGCTTAGCGTCAGTCAAGGGCCCATGCCTCGCGATAGTAGAGCTCGACGATGCGCCAACGAAGCAAGGTCACCACCTGCTTGGTCGTGTGCCAGGTCACATTGGGATTGCCGTCGCGATCACCGCCCATCCAGCTGCTCCTGTGGTGTGCTCTGACGGGCCCAAAAGACCCAAGGGTTATATACGGGATCTCTGAAAATAGGGGTTAACCCTTGTATATCCCAAAATACTCTTTAATCCTTTTAAAGAAACCCCAAAACAAGTAAACTACAACAACATTCTTGCAATATCAACCCCAGGCACATCTTCAAGAGTGATGCACCATAGGGCAAGGGAGGCTGGCCGATTCGCCTCAAGCAGCGGTCGATGCGGCGGTAGTACTCGGGAACGGCAGCCCAGACTGTGTCCTCGATGACCAGCATTCCGTTTCGTGCCTCTCCTTCTGGGGTAGGCCTGCAGTCATCTTTGACCATCTATCTGACCCTGAATGGGAGTTCCTTGTGTTTTGGTACCTGATTTGCAGGCTCTTTCCACCAACCACATGAAGATGTAGTATCTAGACCATTTGTGGCTATCTCAATATTTTTGGGGTTATCTCAATATTCTGATTCTGCCAACAATAAGATTTGGTACCCAATCAAAAAGGAACTAGCATGAAGTGCTCGGATCGAGCCCTGGGCTTTCTAGGAACTGCGGGCAACTTTTCCTCGGGGGGGGGGGGGGGGGGGGGGTGTGAAAAACACAGCGATTCACAGTGGCAGTGTGTCATCATGGCTTTTCCACCCGCATGTCTCTGCAGGATACGTGCTATGCCGGCGTACAACGATAGTCTTATATGTCTGCCCAGTGCAATGCCGACCCACTGCGAATTCTCCCATCAGCGCCGAAGTTTCATCTAATTACGACCGAAGACGATCCATGAACCAAGAAGCCCAAGGCCCATGAGCAGATGTTTGCCCTAAACCCTAAACCCTAAACCCTAGACCCGAAACCCTAAGGTGCAGCGGTTGCTGCGCATGTGGGGTCCTGCCTGGTACGTCGCACTGTGTTGGTGCGCCAGCAGCTCCACTGCACGGCCTTCTGAAATTAGCTTGAGGAACCTCAAGTATGCAAATACTCAGTTGAGGCTGAAATCCTGAAATTCTCTAAATATAAACTGTTAATAACTGCATATCTATATATACATATATACATTTACACATGTTGTTTCTCTACATATAGACATATATATACATACACATATGTACCACACACACACTCTCTCTATATATATATATATATATGCTTCATATTCCAAAACAGTAAAAATGTGCGTACATGTATATATATATATATTTATTTATTTATTTCTTTTATTTTTACGTATACATCTATATATATATATATACATACATACATGTATATATATATGAGCCTGAGACCTTTAGGGTTCTTTTGGCTTAGTTTTTATAAGCCCTCTTAAATAAACAAAGCCAAACGCGATAAATATAGGAATATATATGCTCTTAAATGAACGCGTCCACTACATGTCTCGATCTGTTCAAGTATAGCTCAGCTTTCTACTCCCTAAACCTGAAACGTTAAACCTTGAAACCTGAACTTCAACCCTTTAAACCTAATCTTATTTTTTGACCCTTAACCTTGAAACCTTTAAAAGTAAACCTTAAACTCGCGAAGTCCTAACTTTTAACTTTCACCCCTAGGCTCGTGACTGTAATCCGACGCATCTTCTCGCTTCCTTGCTCATGGCTGTGCTTGAAACACAGGCGTGCTGCGAGTACCTGCGAGTCCATCATCTCTGCCTATGCGTGTCGCTTTTATCAAGATAAGTCATGATGGCTCGCGCTTCGGATAGTCTGTACATTGCAGAAACAAATGCACGGTTTAGGTTTAAACCTTCAAGGTTTATGGTTTAGGGTTTAAGGTTTAAGGTTTATGGTTTAGGGGATAGGGTTTAGATTTTAGAGTTTCGGGTTTAGGGTATAGGTTTAGGGTTTATACTTAAAGGTTCGGGTTTATGGGTTTTCGATTTAGTCCCTTTTATGATGCAGCTCAAAAAAGGTCTCTGCTCATCTGCACGTGGTCAGTTGAGGCTCCAGAGAGACATTATTCACTAAACCACAAGCCATAGACCCTAAACCTTAACCTCTAAATCCTAAACCTTGAACTCTAAGCCCTAAACCGTAAACCCACAAGGGCCTTACTTTACTTCAAAAACTCCCCGCGCAGAAGAAGACACAGATGAAGAAAGTCATAAGCTGAGCTCGAGCTCGGAGCTGCTCATACATCTACACCTGTCTAACATTCCTCATCAGTTTCTACTCCCTAGATTTTAAGCCTAACACCCTGAACTTTAAACCCTTAACTTTGAATCCTAAGTCGAAAACATTAAATCCTCCACCTTGAAACACTCGGAGCCTTAACCCTAATCCCTTGAACCCTTATATCTCAACCCTAACCCTTAAGGTCGTGATCCTGATCTAAGACGCCTCCCAGCTTCCTTGCTGCGGGCTGTGCTTGCAAAACTAACATGCTGAGAGTCCAGCATCTCTGCATGTTCTTGTCGCCTTTTCTTGTTCTAGACGATACTGGCTCGTGCTCTAGAGATCTGATTGTCATCTGATTGTCCGCATTGAAACACAAAGCCACTACTTCCTGCAGGATTTACTAAGCCCAAAACCCCAAACTCACAAGGGCCTCACTTTAGTAGACACACTCCTAGCGCAGACAAAAACAGATCAGGAGAGCCGTTAAACTCAGCTTGTGCTCGGAAATGCTCATACGTCTCCACCTCTTTAACATTCCTCAGCGTTTCTTTGTGCTGAACCTGAAACCTTAAACTCTGAGCCCTGAACCCTAACTTCTTAAACCTAATCTTTAAAATCTGCTCCTAAACCTTGAAACCTGTAACAGTTAACCTTAAACCCACGAAGTCCGAACTTTTAACGTTCAGCTCTAGGGTCGTGACTGTAGTCCGATGCATCTTCTCACTTCCTTGCTCATAGCTTTGCTTGAAACACTGACTTGCTGCGAGTAGCTGCGAGTCCATCATTTCTGCTTATGTGTGTCGCTTTTACTAAGATAAGTCGTGATGGCTCGCGCTTCAGATAAGCTGTACATGGCAAAAACAAACTGCACGGTTTAGGCTTTAACCTACAAGGTTTATGGCTTAGGGTTTAGGGTTTAAGGTTTAGGGTTTTAAGTTTATGGTTTAGGGCATAGGGTTTAGGTTTTAGGGAGCCCCTTCTATGATGCAGCTTAAAAAGGGTCTCTGCTCATCTGCACCCGGCCAGTTGAGGTTCCAGAGAGACCTTATCCACTAAACCATAAGCCATAGACCCTAAACCCTAAACTTTAAACTGTAAACCTTGAACTCTAAGCCCTGAACCTTAAACCCACAAGGGCCTTACTTTACTAAACAAACTCCCCGCGTAGATGAAGATACAGATGGAGAGAGTCCTGAGACTGAGCTCGAGCTCGGAGCTGATCATACATCTCCACCTGTCTAACATTCCTCGTCAGTTTCTACTCCCTAGATTTTAAGCCTTACACCCTCAACTTTAAACCCTTAATTCCGAATCCTAAATCGAAAACATTAAACCCTCCGCCTTGAAACACTCTGAGCCTTAACCCTGACCCCTTGAACTCTCATATTTAAACCCTAACCCTGAAGGTCGTGATCCTCATCTAAGACGCCTTCCAGCTTTCTTGCTCAGAGCTGTGCTTGGAAAACTAACATGCTGCGAGCAGCTCTGAGTCCAGCATCTCTGGATGTGCTTGTCTCCTTTTCTTCCTGTAGATGGTAGTGGCTCGCGCTCTAGAGATCTGACTGTCCGCACTGAAACACAGAACCGCAACATCCTGCAGAATTAGCTCTGGCATCCAGGAACCTATGCTTGAATGCCTCGACGTCTGAGATCCAGCAAGGGCCATTCATCTCCAGACAGTCTGAGAAGCACCGTAAAACTCTAAACCCTAAAGAAAAAACAACATCCAGAAAAAAACGATACTTGGGAGCTTTGAGTCACTCGATTCTTGCGTGACTTTAATTATATGATTGAGACTCTAAGGTTTATCATTTCAATGTTTTGGGTTTAAAGATTTCGACTTAGGGTTTAGGGTTTAGGTTTTAGTATTGAAGATTAAGATGTAGAGTTCATGCTCTAGGGTTTAGAATTACCAGGCAATCCGAGAAGCAACGTTAAACTCTAAATCCTGTGAAAAAAACTAACAAAAACGAGACTTGAGAAGCTTCGGGATACTCGTTAACATAGCTGCTTAGCTTCCCGAACAACCTTTCCTGTGGCCCTACCGCATCTCGGCAGCATAAATCATCTACTCGATCTCTCATGTGAAAGCTGAACACGCTCAGTCAAGATCTTCCCCATCGTCATCCTGTCAGATGATTTCGCGTCTTATTATTTCAGGATCGTAAATTCCACTGATTCAGATTTGAAGTCGAACCTTTATACACTTGCAACGAAGACCATTAACCTTGCTGCAGGATTCGAAGTGTAAGGTCTGGGAGTATGTCGGAGATCATCATCCTTTTATGTTTCAACTTCTTGCTGCGCGCAGGATTAACAACGAATGCCAAGTTTCTCTTCTCGGGGCGAACCACAGCATCTGCGTAAACGCAAGGACTCATGATGAGTCTGTGTGGTCTAGTATTTTATGCCGCCTCGACGTCGACGCCTGGGAATATTGTTTCGGACGTAGTACGAATTACGTCCTTTCCGCATCAATGCAAATCTCGATGACATGTAATTTAATATTATTCGCACGTAAGTCTGCTCATCAGACGAGTCCTTTGCGCGCAAAGCCCTTGTACCAGGAGAATCGCGACAATCTTGACCATGAGCATGCCTCTTTTAATTCCTAGCGCAAGAAAAAGAACTCACACAGAACAAGAACTCGATGAGCCTTTGTCGTTGCAGTCTTCTTTGTCGTAAAGGTCCGAAAAATTATATTCTTCGCCAAAGTGTCGCCTTAAAAATTGAAGCGTGCAGGATTGTAGAGAGACATTCGAATCTTAGATGCAGCTCAGAAAACACCAAGTAAAGATACTGTCCATCTTCAAGCAAAACCCGATGGGCTTCCCTGCAGTCATGGTAATGCATTGTTTTCGATTATATTTTAATAAGACAAATAGTTATAATAATACTAGTATTACTAAAAATATTAATAATATCAATGATACGAAAATAAAATAATAATACAAGCTAAGCCACACTGATGCTGTCCGCGAGGAAGGCTGAAGATCTCATCGTCGATATTTGGATTTGTTGCAGCGGTCGACCTGAAGACATACATGCTTGATAAAATTTCTTATAGAAATGTATAATTGTCACATATTTATGTATGTTAAGAATATTAACGTTCTTGCAACCTCCAGGTCCAGACAATGTCAGAGCAGTGGTCAGCTGCACGAGACCTTAGACAATATACGCGCGTGCGGTGATGTTATCATGCGGTCTTACAGGAACTGAGGCCTTTACTCCATCTCGACGAGCTTGAGGATGCTCGGGTGCGTCACAGAGGCTGACCTATGAGCACAGCTGCATGAATGGGGCAGCAGGGGTATCTTATTCTAAACTAAATACTAGACAGGTGTCTGGAAAAGATGCCAGTGGTGGATGCCTGCAATCCTCGGCCGCCGCATTATGTTGGGAGAAACATTTAGTTATGGTTTGTGTACAAGAATTAAGACCCCCACTCCATGTTGAGAAGTCGCCGCGTTTGCATACACTCATCTTCCGGTCTCCTGGCAGATACGCCAACATGACATTGCGTTAAAATCTAAGCGAACATCTGAAAAGAAAAACATCACTTAAAATTCTCGTCTAGGGCGCAGCTCGTCGTTGACATCAAGACCAGCGTCCGAACGGATCTCCTTCAACACCACGTTCGTCCTGCTTGTCATGCACGGATAAGTATATATGACGAGAAATCAAAACTCAACACAACTTCTGCATCCAGCACTCTCCTTGTCAGTCGTCCGTCAGGACCGATTAGCCCTCAAAAAAAAACGAATCGCGATATTTTTATTGAAATTTTTGTAGTAAGTTCCTGACGCG